TGGTCTCTCCCCTGATGCTTCGGCTAGAACATTTTCTTGCGTAATTCGTACACCCAAGGGCAGAAGGATTTAATCGCCGTCAGGTCCGAAGTCCATACGCCGCCTCAGCTCTGCGGATGTCTCGGGGGTATGGCAAAGTGGAATCGTTTTTTCCCCCCCGAATTTCTGTTTGTGGGTTCGAACCTCATCCAGATGAGATTTTCTTCTTTTCTTTTTTAACTCATATCAGTATCAACTTGGTTCAGTAGAAACTGAAAATTTCAAAGTTTGGTAGTTCAAAAATTTGGCGATTCCAATGAAGCATTTTCAGGCATGGACCTTTATCACACGGCAGCCATGTTTATCCTCATGAGAATAAAAACCTTTGTTTCACTCGCATAAACTCATTCTCAAACTCGAGGCTACGCGTGGTAGAATCTAATGTTCCAACCAACATGGCTGCCGCGTGAAAAAGGCCCATTGTTTTGTCATTATTTCGTTTGTTTAAAGCCAAGCATCCAAAAAAAAAAAAAAAACACAAAAAAAACACGAGAAATACCTTTGGAAAATGGTATTGTGTTCGGTGAGCACTAGTGGTATTACGTCATTTTAATCAAATGCGCGAGTAATTTTTCATTTTATTTTGGAACTGATGGAACGGATTGCATGGTTGGGGACAAGGGGAAAGACAAGGGATGTCTTGGGATCCCTGGGGGAGACGGGGATGGGAGAGACATAGATTGGTAGAGAGGGCTGTATGTGGTTGGGAACAAGGGGATAGACAAGGGATGTCTTGGGGATCCCCAGAGGACAAGGGGATGAGAGACACATGGATAGTAAAGACGAGTTGTATGGGATGTCTTGGGATCCCCGGGTGAAACAGGGATGGGAGAGACATAGATTAGTAGATAGAGAGGGCTGTATGTGGTTGGGGACAATAGGATAGACAAGGTATGTCTTGGGGATCCCCAGGGGACAAGGGGATGGGAGACACATAGATAGTAGAGAGGGTTGCATTATAGTGTGGACAAGGGGATAGACAGGGGATGTCTTTGGAATCCCCAGGGGACAAGGGGATAGGAGAGGCCAGCACTGGACATGTGTCTGATTCATAATCTGATTCATTTTTTTTTTCAAACTAACAATAGCATTAGATAAAAATTACAAAACTCTTCTAAAATTCTACTAATAATAGAATACTCATTTACTACATTTTACCTTTTACAAAATGTTGAGAACAATTGTTATCACTTAAGAATGACAATCATGCTGCATACTATAATATACATTCCTCTATTTTGGTGAGGGGTCGATGGTAAAACAGCTAAACGTGCTGTGATTGGTTGAAACAAAATTCACCAGTCAGATGGATATTTGTTGTGAGGCCATTCTTTGCACTCTTTGTATGTCTGAAATTTTATGGGTTCCAGTTTGAATATCATTTTTTTAAATTACTCATATTACTAAATTAAATACCACTAATTTTAAATCAATTGATTATCAATCACACTTTTGAATCTTGAGGCTTGAAAAGAGAATAACTCGATGTATTTGTCATGCACAACACTGCTGGTGAGGTGGTGCACACATCAATTGTGTAATTTTGTCACTATATGCAACACCAGCACCATGTATATACGCTCAATTGAAAAATTCATCGTTAGGTTCAAAACGTAAGACCATAGAAGCTAAGACTGAAAGGTATGCTGGAAAATGATATAATTACTTTCTGATGTATTCATTTGAGATACAGAGTTGATATGAAACGTCTTAAAGGCTTCTGCATCTGAGCCTGTTTACAGCTGCTTCCCACCCCTCCCTGATTCCCCCCTGTGGTGGTGAGGGTTGGGAAGCAGCTGTACACAAGCTACTGTGCTCTCTGTCAGTGCACCAATTCATGAACATTCCATAAGTCAGAAGTCAGATAACTAGGTACATCTAATTAATGTACTTCTCATGTACCACTTTGTGTTAGCTTCTAGATTCTATGTTCTATGTTTATAACCAGACAATGATTTTTACAATGGAGTGTATAACCTGACTTCTCTGACCTGACCTTATGCCAAATTTTAAAATGAGTTGCAATATTTTAGTACAAGTTTCCATTACCAAAAATGTTCTGGGGATCGATTGAGTCTTTCACAGATTTAATCATCTGCAACCCAACATCCGAGATGGATTTCTTCAGCCACTTTTTCCTGAGTTTCCCAACCCCATGATGATGAGACAAGCTCCCTCCATTTGCCAATATCTCATCCCTTGCAGAGCTCTCCACTGCATCATACACAATAAGTGGATCGGCCAGGCCCATGTAATTAAAACCAAAGTAGAAGTACACACAAGCACCTGTATCATAAGTTTGGGTCACACGGCATGTTGCAAAGGGTTTGTACTTTACCCCAAGCTCAGCACACTTCCTTATGATACATTCCTTGACATTAATGCACAAGTTGGCCACCCGATCCCAAGGCACTGATGTCTCAAAGGATTCTGCCAAGAAGTAGTAGTCGAATCCTAAATCTCTTAGATATGCAATGACAAAGGTTAACATGTAGCCTCTCTTGCCGTTCTCTTCTCCAGCAGGGATTCCACCGAACTTTGCTGAAATTTCATAGATTCGTTTCTGTTGTATAAGGACTTCCTCATTTGTACCTTCAAAGAGAAGAGTTGCAACTGCTAAAGAATGAGGGTCAAAGCCCTTGAACTTTGTCAAGTACATAGCTTTGACTCCATCAAGAAAGGATTTAAAAAAAGATGTTTCTTCACCCTTTAGTGCCTGACCAAATCTAAACTGTTCATTGTCCATCAGGCGTATTGATGCAGGTGCACAGTGCTGCTTTGCAATCTCATGCAATGCCTTGATCCCTGCTTCAAGGGTTGGAAACACTACAGAACCGTATACCTTGGCCTGGGGAACTGGACGAATGCGAAGAGTAACCTCTGTTACGACTCCTAAGGTTCCTTCTGAACCAAGAATGAAGTGGTGAATGTCTGGACCTGTAGACATACGTGGGACTTGACAATTCTTTTCAACTGTTCCTTGTGGTGTGACCATCCTTATACGGACTATTATGTCTTCAATATTACCATAGATATTCTTTTTCATACCAGATGCTCTAGTGGCAACCCATCCACCAAGTGAACTAAATTCCATGGAATCTGGCTCGTGACCGACACAAAGACCTTTAGCTTGGAGCTGTAATTAAACATGACACAGGTGCTCAGATGGGCTTTACCCTAATATTCATAATCTGAAACAAATGGAACATTTCATTGTCCCTCATGGAGAGAGCAACACATTGGGAAGCACACTAGATGACGTGCGCTGCTTATGCGCTGCCTCTCACCAATGCGACCCGAGTTCGAGTCCTGCCGATCTCGATGTTGTATGTGAGTAGAGTTGTTTGTTGGTTTGTTGGCGAGCCTAGCTCTGTTGTGATTGTCCCATGCTGTGATACAACAGCRAAAGCTTCGTAGATTAAACAAACTTATCTCACTTGTGTGTATCAGTTTAGAATTTAACTCAACCCTAGGATGGCATACACAGTGGTGAGACAGTTGTTGTAGCAGTGCATGCCACTCATTCCAACCTTTCCCCTAAGAATATATTGACTAATATACTCAACCAAAAGGGTGGAGAAAAGGGGTTGTAAAAATTATTTTCATTGGCCCAGGACAATGGATTAAAATACATTGAAAGCTCGAAAATACATTTGTCAGTGATTGCATAAAAAAAGGAACAATTTCTATTTCAACAAAATTCCCTTTTCAGCCCAGAAAAAAAATTAGTTCACAAAAAGAAATACAATCTTAAGTAAAAAATTTTGAGAGAAACTTGCCTGTTGTTCAAGGTCTTCACCAATAATCCCTGCTTCAATGTGCGCCACAAGATTCTCCTCATCTATCCATAAAATTCGCTTCATTTCAGTCATATCTAAGGATACGATCATTCTTTTTTCTTCTGTTGGGCACTCAAGCGCAGTTGACACACTAGTTCCCCCACCAAATGGTATTAAACAGACATTACATTGAACTGCTGCTCTGACGATACCCTCAACATCCTGATGACATCGTGGCCAGATAACTATATCTGGTATTCTTTTGAACTCTCCATGACGCAAGACAAAAATCTCATGGCCAGTATGCCCATGACCATGAAATAACCTCATGATAGGGTCTAATGTATGGTCCACTTTTAAATGCTTTATCTGGTCAAGAAACATCTCATTCACGATTGGCTTTGGCAGTGAATCTGGATTCGGCAGTGGTTTTGCCAAGCTCTTCTGGGCTCTATCTGCATGGCATTCATTTTCAAACCATTCTACAAGCTTAGGAAATGTTTGCCCACTGAGCATGTATCGAGACCCAGTAAAACATGCCTTCTGGTCATCCTTGATTGAAAATTGTGAATCTGCATAACCCCATCCATTCCACTTCAAGATATCATGTCTTCCAGGAAATTTCTTGACTGCTTGGTCGCCATCTGTTTTGGAACAGTTTTCTAATGCAGGAGATGGTGCGAGGTGGTTGGCAAAAGTTTGCAATCGTCTTTGGCTACTCATCTGGTAATAATACTGGATATTTCCCACCTGAATAAGAAAAATTATTATATGGTTTTAAAAGTAAATTTATTTATCATTGCTGTATTGTATTGGAAGTGTTCACTGTTAATGTAATGTCTCATTGCCCTGGCCATTGGTGGGTACATTTTACTTTCAGAGGAGAGAGTTCACATATTACTTATCTTACTTTAGATTTTGCCCTTTATCTTCATTCTTCACTCTCCCTTCTCCTTACCCTACCACCTCCACTCCCCCCCCAAAAAAACCCTCCACTCCCCCCCCCCAACACGCCTAGCTCTCACTATGATGAAAATTAATGGTACTTTAATAAAGAAAACTTCATGAAAACTTCTCAAAAACATTGATTATCAATAGACCATTCACAGATCCTGCGGCTCAACCTCAGCCTCGTCAGCATGTAATATATTCTTTAGAAATTGCCTACAACCTGTGAAATTTTTAAGTGTYTCAATTGTTCGTTGATGTGTAAATTCCTTTCATTACTGCGGACTGTAGTCAAATTCTAAAGAATAATTACACAAGGCTGAGGTCGAGTAACGGGATCCATGAAATGGCCTATTCAAGATAATTCAGCACCTTAACTATATTTGCACAATCTTCGTTTATAAAGACACCAATCTCAATGACACGTGTATCTATATAATATCCAAATTGTACCCAAACTTTTCCAGCTCGTAAGAATGAAATATTTTTTTATCAAACCAAAATAATTAATATGCTTTGTCTTTAATAATTTTTACCTAAATTTTTTGCTCAAAACAACTGCAGATTCTTTAAAGAGGCTTCTATAAAATTAAAATTGTACAACTTTCAAATAAAAGTGATTTCGACACAACTAATTGCCTTATGTAAGAGGGACTCTACAACTTTAAGTGAAAAAAGCGTACTTATTTTTATTTTTTTTAGCAAAATTAAGTGGTAATCAAAATGGGAGGCGTTTAAAAGAATGCAGCAAGGATAAAACCTGCAAAATATCAATACCATCTTACCTGCAAAGTTTTTAAATGGTACCCTTTTGAGATCGATTGAATAAGAACGATTGCAAAAGAACCTTATACGATGACAATGCATGTTGGGATCACCTGATCCACAGGAAGCCCAACTTGTGAAGCTATATTTTTCCTTGTTATCGGATTGCTTGAGGTATTTTTATCTATTTTATTTATTTTATTTTAGCACATATATTTGTGTTTCAATTTATATTATTAGCAGGGCTCCTTTGAAACCTCTACGGAGGTATGGGCAAGCTGAATAAATGTCATTATTATTAATGAAAAGAGTAAATTATACCAAAATAATACTAACCAATTTATATATTTGGCATCAAAGAAATATTCCCAAAAATATAAATATAATCAATCATTTTTTTTATAATTAGAAACCTAATGAAAAGAATCTTAACGATCAAAAAATATTGAATATTTTAACTCTGCAGCCCGCGCATGATGTTAGTTTTATTTGGGCTACCTGTGTTTATACTGTCAGGGGTGAGCTGATTTGTTGTTCACGTTTTATATATACACATTCATCATCAACGTCACATGCAGTCGACGTTTTGCGAATTTTACAGCTTTTTATTCAAATTTTGGTTAAAATTTGAATCAAGCAAGACAAGTACCGTGATTTTATCTGAAGGAAACCAACTTTTCACTGATTTAATGTTTAACTGGGTCACTTTATTCGAAAAACAAGAAACCATTCCGTGGAAGTCGATTCATCACGAACGTGGAGACCAAGTCATCGGAAAAGTATGTGTAAAAAAACCTTCCACAGTACTTTTTGCTGAACAGTAACTATATTATTCTTTCAATATATCGATATATGGCTAACTCTTTAGGTAAGCCAAAGCGGTTTTCATAATATATGAATACACGCATTCCGAGAATAATATAATATGACGACTCGCGAGATTTCTGAGAACATTGCGTGACACAAATCGTTTCTTGGAAGTCWACGTCTTCCAGTATAGTTGCGTTTTTTGAATAGTCGATACTGCTTTGGAGAACACTAAAACGCTTTCAAATGTTGGTGTAAAGGAGCAGTGGATGAACATTCTTTTGTACGAGTTCGTTTTATGCAAGTTTAATACAAATGTGTATGGATGAAAAGATTCTATGTTGTCACGATGGCGATGTTGAAGAAGTGACATTCAGATCGCGTTCCTTAGCGCACATATTGGAAACTCTTTCAGAAAGTGGGCTGTACTGGAGAGGTTTAAGCAAAGAGCAGGCTGAATACTATCTACGAGAAGCAATTGTTGGAGCCTTTTTACTAAGAGACAGTTCACATCCACAATACTTGTTTACGTTAACTTTCAGAACATTCAGTGGAGTGACTAATATTCGAATTGTGATGGAAAACGATGGAAGGTACAAGATGGAAGCTTATGATTCCGAGAAAACGAAGATTCCAAGTTTTGAAACAGTTCTTATGCTGATAAGTTACTACGTAAAACTTTCAAGGAAAATCCTTGAGCAGGTGAGAGAAAAAGATGTTGAGAGAACAGGACATCTTTATTTGACTAAACCTTTCTACAAAAAAGTGTGTTCCTTGAAACATCTTTGTAGAAGAACGATAAATCAACATTTGAAATCGGGCAGCATATTTCAACTACCARTTCCAGAAAAGACTAAAATCTACTTGTCTCACTATCCTTATCCAGTGTGAAAATATTTTAAATTAACGACAAATATCACAATTATGTACTTACTCGTATTTATCATGAAAAACGTTTAGGTGTAAAAGTATCTTTCTTGCTTTATTTGGTTTCATTTTCAATTTTGGTCACTCTTCAAATCCCCTGTTTGGTTTCCTGGAATTTCACCTGAGACATTTAAGAAATTCTTCTTGTAAAAATTTCTCCAGTGTTACTTTTAATTTTATATAAATTAGGGAAAATCCATAAATTACATGGCCATTTGTTTATTCATTAAAAAACTGTATTTTTATGCTATTTATTTAAAGACAGATTCATTCTAATGTAAAATGTATGATGATCATACTATATACGGTAATGAAGTATCTTTGTAATATAAAACAGCTAGCTGGTGTTTATTGCTCCATTATGATTACAGTTGCAGAAAATTCCTGGAAACGACACATGTTCTCACACACACACAAAAAAGAGATCTCTCCTTTTACATTACTTTACAATCTGGCCCCTAATTAGCAAGTACGATAAACTATTGTCTTTGGGACCGCATTTCTAGAAACTATGAACAATTCTTAGCTATTTCTAAAGACTCATGCTTGATGATGGTTGTCGCGTCATTTACTGGTCTCCGATATTTAAGTCACAGCCCATTTTTCTTGGAATCGATCTCAACTTCCCGGGGGAATCCCCCAGTATACCGCGAATATTATTTAATCAATGATCAAAAGCGAAAATCTTTTAAATAATTCAGGCATTCTACGTAGAAGAATATAAGGAGAAATTATCTTTTAATAGCAGATGACATCATACTTTCCAAGGTCATCGATGCACGATCGCGACCTTGAAAGTTCTAAGAAGCAAGAAAAATTAAAAGAAATTAATTACTAAATTGAAAGAAATTAAATTAATTTCTTTGGCCTCAGTGTTCTTCATTGCCATTGTTTTGATTATATTCATATCTAAAAATCGGCGCAACATAAGTATTTTGTATCTTGTAACTAGCAGGTGGAGTTCAATTCCACCATCCAAATGAATTTACTGCGCAATGACGACGATTGTGGTTTTCTCTGTAAATGAAAATAAAAAAATAAAAACTTAACAAAAATGCTCGTTCGACCGGCTTTTACTTAAGATTATCTTCAATGCTATTATGAAATTTGTCCATGCATTTTAAACTTAAGTCCAATTTTATTTTGTCAGTGTTTGGGAGTCTGACCGTCCATTGCGCTCAGTGTAGCGAGCCAAATATATGATATAAAAAAGATAGGAAAAGAGAACTCTCCACTATTTTATAAACGAGGACTGAGTCAGCATATGAAACTGATAGGAATTTTTCACTCGAAATCCAACGGAATTGTATAAAGTGACGGAAATATTTAGCCGATTTTTCCGGTTGCTACTTGCCTATGTCATTCTTATGTGATGGATATTTTGAGCATCGTCCATGCAACAGTGCATGACCAATACGATTTTCTTTTATTGAAAGATTGCATTCGCTCGATCTGCTGGCTAAACGTTTCGTCCAGTTAAGTATAAGAATGATTACAATTATAAACTCATAGTGAGCACCATCCACCAAAACAGAGCTGACCATATTTTTATTAAATATCATTCCTCATATCRTGATTTTATAATCGAAAGCTATCCGGATATCAGATTGAGCATAATGGCAGCCACTTCAGTGTGAATGCGGATTGAAAACTACCTTCAGTGAACATCGTTTATCACTACCTAACATGGACCAGGCTTTTTTTCAAGTCAGTGATCATCATCCCATGACTGCCACTTTTATTATTATCTAAGGAATGACTCTTACAAACTACCTATAGTGAACACCATCCCACAAGGCTGCCACTTTTATTGCCTAAGAAATGAATCAATCGAAAACTACCTAGCATCATCCGATCCACCATGCATGGCTGTCACTTTTATTCTCTTAGAAATGATTACCAAATAACTATGTACACCTATAATCAATCGAACGAGCCCAAGCGCGGGCCCATGAAGCGGAAAAACAGCGAAATGCGGCACATAATTTCCGGGAACAATCTATTCAAAGAATACAGCGGCTCGAGAAGCTAGGTTAAGTATTTTTCTGCAAAAAGTCTGATCTTATCGATTGCAACGTGTTCTGCGAACTAGAGAATTTGGAAATTTCGTTGCGCAAATTTCACGAATTACGGCGTGGTCCAGTGACCGCTTCCAGGAAGTGAAAGCAGTCATCCATGTAATTGCGCCTCACATGCACATGACAAAAACGATCACTTCAAGAGACCTTAAAGTTTATTATTTATACGCTTTTAAAAAGGKGTCAATAGTTCGTATTCCATAACGCATGGTAAGATTAATTAAGTTAACCGAATTTGGCAAAAATGCGCAACGTTAATTAGCGCGCGGTACAGAACAAGAATCAACGAGTGCATACAGTGGGATATACGTCAATTGATACGACAGCAGAGCATTTATTCGTGTGATTTGCAAGGATCTGACAAAACTGACTCTATAACTCGATTGCCGACAATTCTCAGAACGAACGCCTACGTAATGCATACTGCAGTATTCGTCCATACAGATCGAATGTCTGATTTCCTAGAACTACTGAGAAGCCGCATGTTAATGCGCCCTGGAAATGTCTCGTTCGTTACTTTAACGCCTGGGGTTCAGATTTCAGCTTATTTTCCTGCGATGGAAGCGTCTGGAGCGTCTGGATCAAGCGCATTTCCGATAACTTGAGAARATTCTTGAATAGAATGGATAGAAAAATAGGATATTTTCAGCAGTTTTCTTTGAAAAGTCCTATAGCGACGGCGCCTTGAGCTACTCGTATACAAAAAAAAAAAAAACTTTTATTTGATCAACTGCATTCGGACCAACTGAGCGCCATTTTTTTACAATTTTCCCTGCGTGATATCTTTGCAGCTATACCGTAGGGACTCCATAGCTTTCTGTTTATGACGTCCATGATTGGACAGCAGTAGAGCGCGCGACAAAAGGGGCTGCATGCAATTCTTGGAATATAATCATTAGTAAAAGCCTGTCTAAGGGGGTTTTCCCCCGACGACGACGGGATATTAATTTCTATGTAATGTTATGAAGTTGCTAAAAAAATGCATTTATTTACTAGTTTTTTTCTGGAAGAAAGGAAGAAAGTTTCTGTCGCTATGTTTGCCATTTTTCAATCCTTAACCCAAATTGGCAAACCTTATCTCAAAAGTTTTCATCCTAAATCTTAAGCTAAAAGAACTGATGATTCTAGCCAGTAGGTATAACTAAGTACCTTGAGTTCAGAAGGGGAAAAAATGATGAGGAAACTGGAGCTAGTTTTGAACTGGGAAAGTAGGATTTCAAACAATGAAACTGGAATCTGGGTCACTGGGAATGGGGAATAGAATCGATCAGTTCCAACGTCTCGGTAAAGTTGCAAGCACAATATTTTAGTTGTTTTTGATAACTTTCCCGGCTTTGGATTAGTAGGCTRGTAGATTCTAGTTGAGGAAAATCGCTTAGAACTCAAATCTCAGATTCCTAAATTTTGTAAGTTGGCTTGCCTTTCTCTGCCACCACAAAAAAATAATGAAGGTTAATACTATAAAGAAATCATACAAATAGAAAGCATTTGAATTGCCTATTCAGCGCATGCTCCGTTTTTTATCTTTTTAGTTCACTTTCTACTGTCCCTCCCCTCCCTCAAACAGTTGTATTGCGTCACATGCTCACGTGTTGGAATATTGCCGCGTAATTCGAGGACAGCTGAAAGACGCAAATCTGCCTAGATTTTCTTTTTTCTTGGTTTAAAAAAGTCTGTTCAACGCTGTTTCTCTTACATGTAAGTACCTTTTCCCTCACATAACAGAATTATGTACTTTTAAGGACTGTTAACTTTATTTCTCGCGGAGAAATTKTTTTTTTTTTTTCAGGAACACGTGAACACGAAAATGAACACGTTGCCTATGTACATTTCTTCTGAATTGAGAATCAAAATTTCTGTGATATTTGATCTCTTTTTACTCGTATTTCTGCAGATAAATCATGGCTGCTGCTAATGGGGACTTTGACAACGATTTTCCTCGTCTAAAGCAACCACTGAGCGAAAATGACCCGGAACTGTACGAAATTTTGAAGAAGGAAAAGCTCCGGCAGATCAATGGATTAGAGTTGATTGCCTCTGAGAACTTCACTAGCCAAGCCGTAATGGAGGCTCTAGGGTCTTGTATGACGAATAAATATTCCGAAGGACAGGTTGGGCAGAGATATTATGGTGGGAACGTCTATGTAGACGAGATGGAAGCGCTTTGTAAGAAGCGAGCTCTTGAAGTGTATAGGTAGGCTTATGCAATGCAATGGTCAAAGTCCACTTTTTCTCTTTTTAAAAAAATGAGTATTTTTTGCACAGATAGATTCAGATTCTTAAGACTATATATGCTAAATCTATGATTTAGTTAGAGAGAGGGGAAAGGAGAAAGTAAAGCATCAAATTTTTACTGCAATTAAAACATATAAGGCTTTATTTACCAGGGCCCGGTTGTACGAAACCTGATAGCGCTATCCAGGTTTCGTACAACCCTGGGCCCAGGTAGCCCAGCAGTGGCAGATCTAGTAAGTAATGTTAGTAAGGGCTGGTCAAGCATAAACATAAATGTAAGAAACACAAGTGTGAACTGGGCTTGCACAAAGCATAAGCATAAGGAATGGAAACTTTTCCATTTTCTTGTGATTATGCTGATACTTGTGAAATCCAAAGTGTGAACCGGGCTTACATAAGCATAAGTATAAGAATTACGATAGTACTATGTTTCTTATRCTTATGTTTATGCTTATGTTAAAGTGTGAAACAGCCATAAGTCTAGAGCCGAGGTCAATAGAAGGCTGCTCCAGGCCTTCCTGTGTACTTCAGCTTGACGATCAAATGAAAAATCATTAATATAATTTATGCAGAACAAAGCCACCTCTTTAGTTGATTTCCTTACTAGTCTCCCTTTAAACTTTTACAATATGAAACTAACTCGATACTTTACTACTAAAAATGTCCTTGCACTTAAAGTGCTACTATGACGAAAATCGCTCAAACTTGGATTCAGCTGAAACTTCCTAAGAATACTCTTTAATGGTCCAATAATCACTGTATGAAGTGTTTTCTCGATATTCAGGACGAAAGTATGATATTTTTATGATTATGTTTTGGAGTCTGTGACGTCATAGACTCAACATCAAACTTCGCTCCATACATTTCTTTGTAAATAAATCCTTAATTTATTTTATTCCTATGAAGCCCAAAGGGTGGCTAATGTGCTTATTTCACATTACTTGTGACTATGATTTATATTTTGGGGTGTTTGGGTATTTCTTTCTCGGCTTTACTACTGATATTTTGATCATAAACTACAAAGAAATGTATGGAGCGATGTTCGCCCTTGAAAATTCTTTAGATAAACTTCAGGGTCTCTAATATATCCAGAGTAAGGTAGTATAAACACCTAAAACTTCCACCCATGTATTTTTGTTTCTCTCAGACTTGACCCTGAAAAGTGGGGTGTAAACGTACAGCCATACTCTGGATCGCCAGCAAACTTTGCAGTATACACTGGTCTACTCAACCCACATGATAGAGTGATGGGGCTGGATCTTCCAGATGGTGGTCATTTGACTCATGGCTTCATGACAGACAAGAAGCGAATATCAGCCACATCTATCTACTTTGAGTCAATGCCTTATAAGACAGACCCAAAGACTGGCTACATTGACTATGACAAGTTGGCCGAGAATGCCCAACTCTTCCGCCCGAAAATGATAATTGCTGGTATTAGTGCGTACCCAAGGCACTTGGATTATGCTAAGTTTAGGGAGGTCTGTGACAGTGTTGGGGCAGTTTTACTAGCCGACATGGCCCACATTAGTGGTCTAGTTGCAGCTGGTGTTGTGCCGAGTCCTTTTGATTATGCTGATGTGGTGTCTACCACAACACACAAATCACTCAGAGGACCAAGAGCTGGGATGATCTTCTATCGTAAGGGCATTAAGGGATACAAGAAAAATGGTGATCCAATAAAATATGATCTTGGTCCCAAGATAGATTTTGCATTGTTTCCTGGGTTGCAAGGAGGCCCACACAATCACCAAATTGCAGCACTTTCCGTCGCTCTCAAACAAGCCAACTGTCCTGAGTTTAAAGCTTATGCTCAACAAACTCTGTACAACAGCAAAGCAATGGCTAAAGTCCTGATGGATAGAGGCTATTCACTTGTAACTGATGGGACGGACAACCATTTGATTCTTCTTGACCTCAGACCTAAAAAACTGGGTGGAGCACAAGGAGAGAAGATCCTTGAGGAAATTTCTGTGACAGGTAAGTTTGAAAAGCTACGACTTGCACTAACAGGTCACATGACCCCATCCCCCTTAAAACGAGCAAATGAGTCAAAATGAACTCCAGAAATGAAAAGAGCACCTCAAATTTGGTAAGAGGACGAAGTTTCAGCTCGAAGTGTTGACTATAGAAGAAATGACATTAAATATAGAATCAAATATTTTACAAGGATTTGTATGGGAAAAGTGTTGGCTGGTAAGCTTTTGCCATCCAGCACATTTTCCCATATAAATCCTTTTAAAACATTCGATTTTATATTTAATGCCATTTCTCCTGTTTTGCTTATTATGAGCTGAAACTCTGCCTCCCTACTAATGTCAAGATGCTCTCTTCATTTCTGTTTTTCATTTTGACAACAATGGTCATTTTAAGGGAGGTAGGGTCACGTGACCTGTTAGTGCAAGTCGTCTTCTGTGTCCTTTCAAGAATAATGATATATTTTCTTGGGCATACGGCTTAATAAATGTTAGTATGAGAAGATTTTTTTCATCTTTTATTATTTGGAATATTTCAGCCTTTCTCCAAATGCCATCAAAAGCAAATAATAATAATAATAAAGCTACTTAATTAATATTTTATAACACACTCATTCCACATAAAGTTAAAAGTCTCAAAAGAAGGACTTTACATGGACTGCAGTGAAAAAGATTTTAGTACTCAGAAAAATGGTTGCTTACTAATCAAAATGAGTAAATTTAAGAAGCTGGAAAACGTCTTTGCTCCAATGTCATAGTTTCTTAAACTTCTCATGTTTTTTCCAATATCTTATGTGTTAAGATATAAAATAGAAAACTGTTTTGTTTTTAAAATACTGATTTGCTTGCTCATTCCTCAGTCAATAAAAACACTTGTCCTGGTGATAAGAGTGCTCTACATCCTGGAGGCCTACGCATTGGGGCCCCAGCCCTAACATCTCGCAAGCTGAACGTCTCAGACTTTGAGAGGGTTGCAGATTTTATTGACCAGGGACTCAAGCTGGGTCTTGAGATCCAGGAAACTTCTGGTACTGATTTCAAAAAGTTCCTGGAAACCCTCAAAACTGATCTTTTCAAAGGGAAGATTGAGGCACTAAGAAATGCTGTTGAAGAATTTGCCAGTAAATTTCCAATGCCTGGAAATGATGTAATTTAGAGACACAAGTTTTGAATATGTTACTGAGTACACAGTACGCAAAAGACTTGAAACTTATCACAAATATATTATTGTAACTGTTATGATATTATTGCAAATAATCTATTGCTTCCCAGATGTTTCAAACTGGTTGTGTGTTTGCAGCACATTAATTTGCTGTGTTGATGTAAATTAATTTTTTAGGAAGTGCATACAATAATATAAAGACTTTGCCATGATTAGTAATGAGTGAGATTAAGAATACAATTTTTCTAGTTCTTGCATTGAACTCAAACCTGCAACTGATTCTTTCTTATAAAATGTTGTTATGTAGAGATTAATTAATGATTGGGTATAATAAATTTGTCCTGTGCACTGTGCATTTATTATTTTCAGTTAAAAACATATTTTTTWAAATAATGATTAAGAGAGAATCCTTAGCATTATAAATAAAAAGAACAGAAAAAATGAGTAGCTGTTTTACATCCCTTACCAAATTAATATTACTGACCGAATCCTGCAACTCGTTATAAGGCTAGCTATAATACCAGATATATATTGTGTGTGGGCTACCTGTGTCTCAGAATTTGTAACTTTTTAAAGTTTCTAAAACTGATTTTAGCAACTGGGACAGCAGACCAGTTGTGCGGGGCTGCAGTCTTCCCCCATTCCCTATCCCAAAAATTAGACAAAATAAAAATGTAATTCCTACAAAAAGTTGGGACCCCCTTCAGCTGGGATGTCCCTGAGCAATGATGCTGCTACCTCCAAAACAGGCTGAGTTTTTTTGATATTGAAGCACCTTGGATCTGAAACCCCATAGATATTGAAATGGGGGAGATGATGAAAAAGGGYAGGCAAATGCTTGGAGTGATTTCCTGTGTCTTGTGGAATTTTTATCAGCTGAGTCGCAAGTTTTTGATAGAAACCTTTCTGGCTGACAGCCCATTGTGGTAAGTATAAAAATCCACATTTTGAGCAGAAAATAAGACTCGTCAAGGGYGGATCCAGGGTTTTTTGAAGGGGGATCTCAGGGGTAAATTTTGTGGGCAAAGGAATCCCAGTCACATTTTTACCACAAGAAGCCCATTTGACCTCAGGAATGACAGGGGGGTCGCGACCCCCCCGACCCTCCCTCTGGATCCGCCCTTGCTCGTAATGATACTYTTATCAGCTTATTGAAACCCAGCTGCCCTGCCCAGTTGTAACAAATTTAAAACACACAGGAAGCCCAATTGAGCCTGTTTCTTCTTGCGTCAGCGGTGGTCACCATGAGTGCGGCGCGCAAAGTTAAAAATGGCTTCCTCGATGGATGTTGACAGCGATGATGAAGATCTTTTACAGCCAAGTATCGCTTCAAAAACATGGATTATAACCCCATATATGGTCGAGGAGGTACTGGCTGTATGTCCGAATGCTTGTCGAGAAGCTATAAAGCGTGATTTATATCAAACACGCAGCGTAACGTCAACCATTAATAGGATACTGGATAGAGAGGTGAGGGACTTACAGGACTATGTTTTAGTAATATCCATTGCGTTAAGTTTACTAAACTTAGTAAAATATACACCTATACCTGCATATTGTTGTAAAAGGAAAGCTTATTACTGCAAGACTTGGGTTTAAACTGTTAAAATAAGACAAAAAGTGATTGACTATAGTTTAAAAAGAAGCATTTACATTGTAAAATCGGTTGGTCAAATATGCCTTTGTTCATATAGCTTTAATACGTGGTCTAGCTAACTAAATCTCAGTTTTTTCATTTTATTATTTTGTGTTGCTGTACAGTTCATATTACTACTATACAGTATCAGCTAGACTAATTGCAGGTGGTTGGCAATAAGTTGAAGACATTTGATGTTCTGGACTGCTTTGTGCATGTGATTCAACCCCTCCGCCCATCCCCCCACCCCAACACATCCAACACGACCATGACATGAGCCTAATCTGAGCACAATGGAACCCCTCAAAAGTGGGGAGTAGTATGCATAAAGCTAAAAGATGGAGACTGAAAAAAATTGGTAGATTTAGAAAAAGTGGGACTTTAGGCTACCTAGATAGCTCGTTGAAGAATGCTCTGGTAAATGAGMAAAATTCTCAGGCTTAAACTACCATTTATAGCTTGGTATTACATGCATGTATGTAAAATTTTCACTTAGACCCTCTGGCTAGTTCATGGAGTTCTCCTATCATTTCAAAACTTACATGTAATGAAACCCCTGGGAACTGCTAATTATTATAGATACATGAATGCTGTTTGTATTCACAGATTGTTTGCGACAACACCACATCTTTGCCTGATAACCCAACAAGAGACAAACTACCTGGAATTATAACAGATGTGATTTCTTCTCCCCAAGCCAAGAAAACAATCAACTGCTTGAGTGATACAGACACCGATGATAGTGACATTGTTATTGTCAATGAAAAGAGAGAAACCATTTTTACATCTCTAAAAGAACGGTTAGGAAAAACCACTTTGAAAAATGCAGATGGTTCGAGTAAAGAAGATAAGAAATGTGATAAAGTTCTTAAATCAAATACAAACTTATCAACAAATGAAAAAATCAATACGAATAATATGCACCGAACAAATGAAATACAAGATTTTTCTTTTACGAATGAACAGTGCGATAAAATGGAAGTTGATCATGAGGATGATAATGACAATGATGTTGTTTTAGTAACTCTTGAGAAAGAGGAACCAGGCATGAAATTTCTGGAAAATTTGCCCAAGAAACAACCAAAGAATAACCATAACATCAGTGAAATCATTGACTTGAGTTTTGTGGATGATGAGAATCATAAAAATTGTGATGCTAATGATTTAGCAACGAACTCGAAAGAGAACATTAAAAGTGCTCCATTTCATGAACAACTGGACACTCTGAATATTGATGTGAAGAAGTCAAGACAATATTCAAGTAAACAGAAGTCTGATAAAAATGTGTGTTTAAGAATAGAAAGTGATGATGATTCTGATACTTGTGCTGCTAGGTTGACAGGTGTCTCTGCTTCTGAATCTGAGTCAGAGGATTTGCCTTCTTTGTTCGTGTCAAAGAAACTTGGCTCCTCTAATTCACAAAATGAAATGGAATTCTCACAAGAAGAGTCCCATGATGATGAAAACATCCCAAAGAAGAAAAAGAAAGGTAATGCTGAAGAAACAAGGAAAAGAAATGAAGAGAAGAAGGTACAGTAATAAAGCAACCTTGATGCTCTCCTCTCGCGAGGGACTAAATAGGGCTTAAGGTGACTGCCTACTTTTGGAAATTGATTTAAGCTTTTTTTAAAACTTYGATTTTCCAAATTGAAATTTAATGCTGATTCCAAATCTGGAAAGAAAAATAGGGTGTTCCGAGCTCGTTTTCGAGATAATCAGCATTGAATGGAAGCCTACGCACGAGCTTTTGGAGAAAAAATTGCGCCACCGGAAGTGTTTAGAAAAAAATTAAGATTAATAAGATAATAGTTATTTGCAGACTATATGATTGCACGAACGAACGCTAGTCAATCCTTCTACAATAATACATGGATATTTTCGACAAAAAAACAGAGAGATACATTGATTTGTCATATTTTGTAGTTTCGGTGCTCTTAATAAATCTCATAAAGTCAAATGAGCTATTAAAAAATATAGAGTCCCGTGCAAAATTCGAGGGTTTTGCCCTGTTGAAGCTCAAAATGGGTATGGTTCTTCAATAAAATCTTGTAGATTTTTCAGCGGTTTTTGAGCGCGCGCACATCGTGGGCTCAAATCGAACGTTCAAAAGTAGGCAGCCACCTTAATACTTTATTAATGCATTCTACTAAGTCAGYACAAACCAGCTGAGATACATGTATGGCTGCTCCTATGAAAATACAAATGATGGAACAGCAATTGTATACCAGTGAGGTGTGCTCCCATAAATCCAATCAGAAAGTGAGATCTACTATGATACACAGCCACCTTATGATAAAGCTACCCCAAAATCCTTCTTATTGCAGCTGTTAAAGGAAAGAGAAAAACAGAAAAAGAAGGAAATGGCTGAAAAGGAAAAACTAGAGAAACAGAAAGCTCAGCTTGCAAGAAAGAAACAAAAGGAGGTACTATAGATAGATTTAAAAGGGATTAATATAAAGAACTTTACCTGAATTTCGTATACAGCTATTTTAAAAAA